TGCACCCAGAAAGGTGAAGCATTTTTGCCACCGCCAAACGGCTATAGGCCGGGCGGCTAATGGTTAACACAAGTGTGTCATCTGAATTTTTACCCCCCGGCCACCCACCTAAAGCCTACTACAGCAGCTGGAAAAGGCGACATACATACCACGGTTGCAATGCTTTGCTTCATTTAACGTGGCATCTTTGACAGGTGGCTTTAGGGACATAATGCGCTCTGAATGCATTAAAATAAAACTCAATGCATGTTTTATGTGTGTCATCCCAGGCACATACGAAATATGGACATGTGACTTAAAAAATACACTAATAAAAACATATAGTTCATTTTTAGGACTGGTTCACAATACAATTTCTGTGCTCCGGATGCATTTCTGCATGCGTGCTTTTCATGTGATTTTAATGTGTTCTGGTGCATTTTTCCCCTCTTTTTTTCCATCTCAACTGAGGATATGTGCATTCCAGAGCATTTTTGACGCGTTTGCCACATTCCAGCTGCGTTCTATACAGAAAAAGTGCAGCATGTTCTACTTCTGTTGACTGCACTGGAACGCACTGCACTGGTGTGAACTAGGGCCATTAGAATCCATGTTAAACACTGTCCAGTCCTTTTTTGATGCAGAATAAAAACACACTAGGCTGCATCTGGTGTCAACCAACCCTTAGGCTCCATTCACACTAGGGTTTTTCAAATTTCAGGCAGAATCGCGGCGATTCCACCCAGGATTTGAAATATCCTAGTGTGAATGGAGCCTACGTATGTTTTCCATGAGTTCCCACTGACTGTAATATAATCCACAAGTTTAACAAAACACACGTAAGATGCAGCGTGATTTTTTCAAAAATGCATCGCACCATCCTCTAACACGCCTGTGGGCTGAATCCGGCCCTCCAGACCATTTCATGTGGCCCTTGCACCTCTCCTGCAGGTACCCCCTTGTCTCCGCCTCCACCTTGTCACAGCAGTCAGCAAGCGGAGGAGAATAGAACTCCTCTGCCAAATCCTGCAGCTGCAGCCCCCTAATCTCTGCCTCCCCTGGTCTCAGCATTCAGCAGCCTCTGGTAACTGACCTTTTCTCTGGACCTCCTCCATACCCTGCAATGTTTTCCAGCTCTGTCCCCCAAGGGGAGTGCACAGTGATGTTAGGGAGGGTGTGGGATTTTTGACATCTGATGTAAGGGGTGGGGTGTTTTGGGGTCTTCGGATACAACCGGCCCTTTGAGGGCAACCATAATGCTGATACGGCCTGCAATGAAATGGAGTTTGACACCCCTGCTCTAACACAACACATTGATGTGAACAGCTTCATATATTATCATGGTAACTTTTTCCGCTTGTTGTGTTGCTGCTCTAAAGTGAACCTGTTGCTTAAATTGCACAGGCGAAGCAGAGGTTCCCTTTATGAATTTAGATTGTACAATGCTCAAAAAAAATAATCAGAGCATAGCATCAAATCAATTACACTCCTGGGATATTGATCTGGTCTGTTAAATAGCAGAGGGGGTTGTTAATCAGTTTCAGCTGCTTTGGTGTTAATGAAATTCTCAATGAGTGCACTAGATAGGCTACAATGAGACAACCCCCAAAACAGGAACAGTTTTACAGATGGAGGCCACTGACAGTTTTTTCCCTACTCATATTTTCTGACTGTTTTTCACTAGTTTTGCATTTGGTTAGGGTCAGTGTCACTACTGGTAGCATGAGGTGATACCTGGACCCTACAGAGGTTGCACAGGCAGTCCCAACTCCTCCAGGATGGCACAACAATATGTGCCATTGCCAGGTTTGCTGTGTCTCCCAGCACAGTCTCAAGAGCATGGAGGAGATTCCAGGAGACAGGCAGTTACTCTCGGAGAGCTGGACAGGGCCATAGAAGGTCCTTAATCCATCAGCAGGACCGGTATCTGCTCCTTTGTGCAGGAAGGAACAGGATGAGCACTGCCAGAACCCTACAAAATGACCTCCAGCAGGCCCCTGGTGTGAATATCTCTGACCAATCAGAAACAGACTTCATGAAGGTAGCCTGAGGGCCCGACATCCTCTAGTGGGCCCTGTGCTCACTGCCCGGCACCATAGAACTTGATTGGCATTAGCCATTGAACACCAGAATTGGCAGGTCCACCACTGGCGCCCTGTGCTTTTCACAGATGACAGCAGGTTCACCCTGAGCACATGTGACAGACGTGAAAGGGTCTGGAGAAGCTGTGGGGAACGTTATGCTGCCTGTAACATTGTACAACATGACTGTTTTGGTGGTGGGTCAGTGATGGTCAGGGGATGCATATCCATGGAGGGACACACAGACCTCTACAGGCTAGACAATGGCACCCTGACTGCTATTAGGTATCAGGATGAAATCCTTGGACCCATTGTCAGTCCCTACACTGGTGCAGTGGGTCCTGGGTTCCTCCTGGTGCACGACAATGCCCAGCCTCATGTGGTGAGAGTATGCAGGCAGTTCCTGGAAGATGAAGGAATTGATACCATTGAATGGTCCCCACGCTCGCCTGACCTAAATCCAATAGAACACCTCTGGGATATCATGATTCAGTCCATCCGACGATACCAGGTTGCACCTCAGACTGTCCAGGAGCTCAGTGATGCCCTGGTCCAGATCTGGGAGGAAATACCCCAGGACACCATCCGTCGTCTCATTAGGAGCATGCCCCGACGTCAGGCATGCATACAAGCACGTGGGGGCCATACAAACTACTGAGGACCATTTTGAGTTGCTGTAATGAAATTTCAGCAAAATGGACTAGCCTGCTGCATCACTTTTTCACTTTGATTTTCGGGGTGTCTTTGAATTCAGTCCTCTGTATGTTGATAATTTTCATTTCCATCAAACAATGGGGCATCCTTATGTTCCTAACACATTACCCCGTCCATATCAGTACAGATATCCAGCATGAGATTTTTCCCCATTGAGATATGATGTACTTTCAAAGTGTTCCTTTAATATTTTGGAGCAGTGTACATCTGCTTTGGTGTCAGCAGCAAAGGGCTGAATGCAGTAAACCGTATCAACCAGCCAAACTTCACATTACCATTTAACCAGTACAGGACAGAGTCTGATTGGCTGTCGTCAGTACTGCTTTTTGCATGTGGCTCGTTACTAAATAAGTCCTAAAAGGACTGCAAAAAGGGAGTATAGCAAGAAGTCATCACTATCACGAAACCCCTGGCTCAGTGTGATTGTTCGCTCTGCGCTACTTCCACTGCTCTGCTTCTTGGAAATCAGATCCAGCTCTGTGTATGTGTGCAGGATTCATGAAATCATTGATGGATTTTAGTTTTTTTTACTACTATAGAAGATTTGCTACTGATTTTGCTGCTCAGTGAAATAGGAAAAACTATTTTACTTTTATTCTTCTCGTGTTTATTTATTTTTGCAACACAACTTCCTATACTTTGTTTTATCAACTGCAAACAATACCGAAAAACAAAACTCCCCTCGAGTCCCGTCAAGTGGGATAATTTATTAGTTGCACAACATTTCGGCACTTTTCCTGAACAGAGGTGTCCATGGGGTTGGAAAGCAGACACGGCACTCATGGACATCAGAGACACCCAACTCCTCAGATCACACTTCTGCCCCCAGGAGCTCTTCACAATGACAGGAGCAATCTCTCTGCTCTCTCCAACCTCATCGCTGACATCAGCAGCACCAATCAGACCATGGGAGGGAGGAGAGCACAGCAAACCTCACCCCTCCCCAAGAAACTTCACCAGAGAAAACTTAGAGCAGCAGCTCAGAAGTGTCTGCACTGACAGCGTGGAGGACATGAGCACCACTGACAGTCTGCAACAATGACTGGACTCAGAGCTGCTCTCTGCCTTCCATCATCAGAGGTCCTGGCTTCCAGCCATATCAAGTCCTACCAGTCCGAGAAGTCCTGATCTCATCAGTGCAAGTTTGAGAACTTCTGATCTCACCAGTACCAGTCTGAAAAGTCCTGATCTCACCAGTGCCAGTCTGAGAAGTCCTGATCTCTTCACCTGCACCAGTCTGAAAAGTCCTGATCTCTTCACCTGCACCAGTCTGAGAAGTCCTGCTTTCCTCACCTGCACCAGTCTCAGAAGTCCTGATTTCCTCAACTGTACCAGTTTGAGACGTCCTGAACTCATCGGCTGTACCAGTCTCATAAGTCCTGATCTCCTCACCTGCAACAGTCTGAGAATATTGATCTAACCAGTGCCACTCTGAGACGTCCTGATCTCCTCACCTCCACCAGTCAGAGAAGTTCTGATCTCATGACACTGAGAAGCCCTGATTTCCTCACCAGTCTTAAGTCCTGATCTTTTCACCTGCACCAGTCTGAGAAGTTCTGATACCAGTCAGAGGATCCTGATCTCACCATTACCAGTCTTGGAAGTCCTGATCTCCTCACTTGTATCCGTTTTAGAAGTCTTGATCTCAACTGTGCAAGCCTGTCCTGATCTCCTCACCTGTTCCAGTCTGAGAAGTCCTGATCTCCTTATCTGTACCAGCCTGAGAAGTCCTGGTCTCCTCACCTGTACCAGAGAAGTCCTGATCTAGTCACCTGTACCAGTCAGAGAAGTCCTGTTCTGGTCACCTGTACCAGTCTGAGAAGTCCTGTTTGGTCACCTGTACCAGTCTGAGAAGTCCTGATCATTTTACCTGTATTAGTTTGTGAACAATTGATCTCCTGAATTGTACCAGGCTGTGGACAGTTGTGATTTCCTCCCCTGTGCCAGTTCATCAAGTCCTCCTCTCCCCAGGTCTTAGAGGTCCTCATCTCCCCAGGTCTTAGAGATTCTCAACTCCCCAGGTCTTGGGGGTCCTCACCTCCTCAGCTGTGCCAGCCTCCCACATCTCCCCTCACCTGGAAGTCCTGGTCCCACCATTTTGGCACCCCCCTGTACAAGGACTGAGAGGGTCACCTACCTGGCCATAACCCTCGAGTTGCCTGACTTATACCAATCATTTTCGGTGGTGTTGTGGATGATGTCCCCCCTGCAGATCTGACGCCCCCCATGAACACGACCACCATGTTGAACATGTCCCTCCTGAACAGCACGGCAGCCCCGGTGTCCGGCCGCCCCCCGACCATCCCGGCCGTCATGTTCATCTTCGGGGTGGTGGGGAACCTGATCGCCATCATCGTGCTGTGCAAGTCCCGCAAGGAGCAGAAGGAGAGCACCTTCTACACCCTGGTGTGCGGCTTGGCCGTCACCGACCTGCTGGGCACCTGCCTGATCAGCCCGGTCACCATCGCCACCTACCTGCGGAACGAGTGGCCGGGCGGGCAGGCGCTGTGCGAATACAGCTCGTTCATTCTGTTGTTCTTCGGGCTGGCCGGGCTGAGCATCATCTGCGCCATGTCCATCGAGCGCTACCTGGCCATCAACCATGCGTACTTCTACAACCACTACGTGGACAAGAAGCTGGCCGGCCTCACCCTGTGCGCCATCTACGGCTCCAACGTCCTGTTCTGTGCCCTGCCCAGCATGGGGATGGGGCGCAGCACCCTGCAGTACCCCTGGACCTGGTGCTTCCTCGACCTCCGGACCAACGTCTCCACCTACGCCGCCTACTCCTACATGTACGCCGGCTTCAACTCCTTCCTCATCCTGGTCACCGTGCTCTGCAACGGGATGGTCTGCGTGGCCCTCATCCGCATGCACCGCCAGTTCGTGCGCAGGACCTCCCTCGGCACCGACACCCGCATCTCCGACTTCAGGCGCCGCAGGAGCTTCCGAAGGATCGCCGGGGCGGAGATCCAGATGGTCATCATCCTCATCGGCACCTCCGTGGTGGTACTCATCTGCTCCACCCCGCTAGTGGTGAGTCTGTGAGGGCGTGCCTAGTGCTGGGCTTGTGCACGACCAGAGAGCCCAGCATCGCAGCATGGAGAGGAGGGGGATTGCAGGACTACAGAGCCCAGCATGGCAGGGGACAGGAGGGGGATTGCAGGACTACAGAGCCCAGCATGGCAGGGAAAAGAAGGGGGGATTGCAGGACTACAGAGCCCAGCATGGCAGGGGACAGGAGGGGGATTGCAGGACTACAGAGCCCAGCATGGCAGGGGAAAAGAAGGGGGGATTGCAGGACTACAGAGCCCAGCATGGCAGGGGACAGGAGGGGGATTGCAGGACTACAGAGCCCAGCATGGCAGGGAAAAGAAGGGGGATTGCAGGACTACAGAGCCAAGCATGGCAGGGGATAGGAGGGGGATTGCAGGACTACAGAGCCCAGCATGGCAGCATGGAAAGGAGGGGGATTCCAGGACTACAGAGCCCAGCATGGCAGGGGATAGGAGGGGGATTGCAGAACTACAGAGCCCAGCATGGCAGCATGGAAAGGAGGGGGATTGCAGGACTACAGAGCCTAGCATGGCAGGGAAAGGAAGGGGGGGATTGCAGAACTACAGAGCCCAGCATGGCAGGCAAAGGAAGGGGGGATTGCAGAACTACAGAGCCCAGCATGTCAGGGGAAATAAGGGGGGATTGCAGGACTACAGAGCCCAGCATGGCAGGGAAAAGAAGGGGGGATTGCAGGACTACAGAGCCCAGCGTGTCAGGGGAAAGGAGGGGGATTGCAGGACTACAGAGCCCAGCATCTCAGCATGGAAAGGAGGGGGATTGTAGGACTACAGAACCCAGCATGTCAGAGGAAAGAAGGGGGGATTGTAGGACTACAGAACCCAGCATGTCAGGAAAGGAGGGGGATTGCAGGACTACAGAACCCAGCATGGCAGGGAAAAGAAGGGGGGTTGCAGGACTACAGAGCCCAGCATGTCAGCATGAAAAGGAGGGGGATTGCAGGACTACAGAGCCCAGCATGTCAAGGGAAAGAAGGGGGGACTGCAGGACTACAGAGCGCAGCATGGAAAGGAGGGGGATTGCAGGACTACAGAGCCAAGCATCGCAGCATGGAAAGAAGGGGGGGGGGTTGCAGAGCTACAGAGCCCACTATGTCAGCAGAAAGAAGGGGGGATTGCAGGACTACAGAGCCCAGCATGTCAGGAGAAAGAAGGGGAGTATTGCAGGACTACAGAGGCCAGCATGTCAGGGAAAAGAAGGGGGGATTGCAGGACTGCAGAGCCCAGCATGTCAGAGGAGAAGAACTGGAGAGTCCAGCATGTCGGGAGAAGAACTGGAGAGTCCAGCATGTCAGGATAGAAAGGGGGAGTCCAGCATGTCAGGGGAGAAGAACTGGAGAGTCCAGCATGTCAGGATAGAAGGGGGGAGTCCAGCATGTCAGGGGAGAACTGGAGAGTCCAGCATGTCAAGGGAAGAAGGGAGTATTGCAGAACTGGAAACCCCAGCATCGCATGGGCAAGAAGGGGGTATTGTGGTTTAAGAACTAGGAAATCCAGCATACTAGGGTGGGAGAAGGGAGTATTGCAGAACTGGAGAACCCAGCATGCCAGGGGAGGAGAAAACAGATTATAGATCAGAGGAGAGAAGGGGAGAGCCCAGCATGTCAGGGGAGAGATGTGGGTATTGCAGAACTGGAGAGTCCGGCATGTCAGGGGGAGAGAATGGGATGACTGCAGGACCTGTGAGCCTAGCATGGCAGAGCAGGGGAAGGGAGGTATTGTAAAACTGGAGAACCCAGCATGCCAGAGGAGGAAAGTGTAGCCTGAAGAACTGGAGAGCACCGCATGTCAGAGCAAGGAAAGTGGGCTACTGTATCTGTAGAACTAGGGAGCCCAGCATGCCAGGGCAGGAGAAGAGGCAGGAGGCTTTGATAGCTGCAGAACTGGAGAGCCCAGCATGCCAGGGCAGGAGTGGGGGGTTATTGTTGAACTGGCTATTCTAGCTGCAGAACCATAAAGACCAGCATGCAAGGGCAGGAGAGGGTGCGTATTGTAGATAGAACTGGAGAGCATCCCATGGCAGGACTAGACAGCTATTGGAATTGCAGAACTGTAAAGCCCAATATTCCGTGAAAGAGAGGATGGCTACTATAGCAGTAGAACTAAAGAGTCCAGCATGCCAGGGCAGAAGAAGGAGGGTTGTATAGTAGCAGAATGACAGAGTCCAGCATGCCAGGGCAGGAGAGAGTAAATATTTGAAGCCGTGGAACTAGACATCCCAGCATGGTAAAGCATGAGAAGGTGGCTGCAGTAGCTGTAGAAATAGAGGTCCAGGGGTGCTAGGACAGCACAGAATGGCTCTGCTGCAGAAAAAGTTAGGGAGCCGAGATTACCTACCACTGAAATCAATGCTGGCATTGTAATTTCATTGCTAACGAAATCTAAAAAGGAAATAGTAGGCTGTATCAAGCTAAGCAATGCAAAACAGGGGGATAGGCCCTCTCATTTTAGGCCAAAATTGACATTGACATTTTAGTTCTAAATAATATAATGTAAATAATATATTCAGTAAGAGTGTGTTATATGCTGTTTGCTTGCCTTTGCTGATTGTTGTCTGCGAGTAGATCTACAAGTCCCAGCAGGTTATGGCAGGATAGGCTGGTACTTGTAGTCAAAGATTACCCACCACTAAGCTAAAAACTGACATTTTATTTCCAAATAATAGGATCTTAATTATTATGTTCAGCAGCATCAGCATATCTTCCCTGATAGCTGTCTGTGGAACCACAAATCCCAGCAGGTTATGGCATTGTAGGTTTGTATCTCAGAAGATGTCCTATCACTGAGCTCAACAGTGACAATGGAAATCCAACATTGAGTTTCACAAATGGCATGTCATGTGCTCTCTAATCCTATTCTGTAAATGAATGAGTAGAACTACAGGTCCCAGCAAGCCAAGGCAGAGCAGGATGACACTTGTTACTGCAGAGCCTCTAGGGGGGAGCAAAGATAACCAATCACTGAGTTCAGCTCTGATGTTGTAAATCCAATGTTAATTCATTTATGCTGGGTTTCAGCAATGGCATGCCATGTGCTCAATGCTTGTCTTTCCTGATGTGAAGCAGAACTACAGGTCCTACTTGTTGCAGCAGAACTGCTAGGGGACTAGAGATGACCTATCAATAAACTCAGCACTGACACAGTCATGTTGATCCTTTATGTTGAGTTTGAGGAACAGCATGCCATGTGCTTGTCCTTCCCTAGAGTACAACTACAGATCAAAACAGCTTGTGGCAGGACAGGCTGGGGCTTGCTGTTACAAAACAGCAAGGGATCTATGAATGGCTCAGGAATACAAATTTTGGGTCCAATTTAAGGTGTGAAAGGAAGTGGAACTAGACCTAATCTGTATCAAGTAAACCTGTGTTCACTTTAATCCTCCAATCCTGTGTGAAGTTTGCATTGAATGCATATTTGCCTTCCCTTAATTTATGGCTTTGTAAATATAGTTCATCTTTGCTTCCCTGCACAGTGTAATCATTAGGATCCTTTAATCCCAGTATTGATCTTCTGCAGAGTTTGATCAATAGCATTATATGTACTCTGTTAGTCTTCGTTCACACTTACGTAGTTTGCTTCTTGTCCGTTTTGCAGTGCTTTTCACAGTCCATTTTGCGTTTTTCTACATGTGTTTTTGATGTGTTGTTAGTGCATTTTGTTTTGGCTCTTTTTATTTTTTTTTAAGTGGAATTTTTTTTTTTTTTTTTTGCTGGACAGAATATAAATGCAAAACGCGGCAAAAACGCACTACCATGCATTTCAGCAGATTCTCCATTGAATTCAGTTGAGAAACACTGCTTTTTGCTTTTAAAAAAAGTCCCTGACCCTTTACAAAAACACAGCAGCTCAAAAAAGCATAGATGTGAACATGTTCCATAGGAAACCATGTTAAATGGACTGTAGTGTGTTTCTGCAAAAAGCACTAAAAAAAAGCACAGGTGTGAATGGAGCGTTAGTAGTTGTGTAGGACAACAACTCCAAGCATGCTAAGGTAGGACAGGTTGGCATTGTAACTGCAGAACTCCTAGGTAGTTTAATGCTGGCATTGATTTTCTGTGTTCCAATATGTACCCTGCAAGCTGAATTTCAGTATTCTAATATGTACCCCTGCATGCTGATTTTCAGGAACAGAATACATGTCCCGTGTTCATGTTGTTGCTGCAATCACTATTTTCTGGTAGAATGTTATACATCCCCTGTGTGTATTATACATTTATATTATAATACTGTATTCTGCCAATTAGTGGATGTCTACTTCATGTTGTCACATGCTGTTAAACAACAGATAAAGAACCTGCACTATATTATTAGTATTTTTTTTATTATTATTATTATTATTATATAAATAATAATAATACACTTATCATCAATAAATGATGCATCTCTATATATGTGATGAACAGTGTTTCATATTATATTGGAGCTTTATAAATAAGTGATGACAAATATAACTACAATATCATGCAGGCTTTTTATCAGTTGTCTTTATCTGATTATTCCTAAGATTCCTGGCGCCTACATGTGGCCCTTTGGTGCTTGCAGTGTGGCCCTCAGACCCCAGCAGTCAGTAGTGGGAGCTTTGATTTGTAATTGGCTGTCTTTAGCAGTTTCATATAACATGCCTCAAATCTCTGACTGTCTCCTACAGCATGACTCTAGTCTCAAACCAACTCCCGTAGCACAATCTACGATCACCTCTTCATATAAAGCTGGACATACAGTGGCAGATTTTCAAGTAAACGTTCATAGAAAAAAATATCCCAGTAAATTCAATAATGCCAACTGAAACTTAACAAAAGTCATTTGAGGAATTCAAAATTTCATTTGCTTTTAACGTTCAAGTTTGCTATGAATAGAGTTTCCTGGACGGAAACCACATACACTGCTAGAAAGTTGTTAAAAAAAATGTTCTTTTTGTAATTGAATGTTGATTTGACTCCATTAACCATTTAAAAATTGAAC